TTTCCCACATTGTCCAGCTTTCAGATTCTTGCTATGCCATTTACACTGAGCCAAACACAGGCATACCTACTGGTTATACACATGTTCTCCAAAAGTCAGATAGTGTATGGCATTGCTTTTGCACGGCTTGCAATAAGAAATCCGGAGCAACAAAACAGGTCAAAACAAAACATTTATGTCTGCATCTCCACCTGTTGTTTTGCCACCTAAACATGTCTGCAGAGCCAACCATTTCCGGACCTAGTCAACCTGTTGAATGTCAACAAGAAGATAATGAAATGTCAACCAGTAGAGCATTAACAATAAAACTAAATCAAAGCTGTTCTATCCCTTATCCCTTCCCTTCTTCTGGACTCCAATTTTGCCAAGCGATGCAACAGAGATGGCCTATTGAATTATGGTTGTTTCGCCAACGGGACGTTTCACCAACGGTCAGTTCGCCAACGTCTCGAGTCGATTCGCCAACGTCTCAGGTCGATTCGCCAACGTATATAAAGACATGATATAAACTGTACGGCACTTATGGACAGCAGGTATTTTGTATTTTTATATAATTATTTCTATAAAATTATTGGCTAAATTGTAGAATACCCGTCCACTAGTCATTTTTCACTGCGTAGCTACATTTCCAGTGGCTACGCGGCTATGCGGTCACGCGCTATCAAATTACAATATCAAGGAAGTATAACGGAAATACCTCTCTTTTGGTAATTTTACACCCAATTATACCACTGCGTAGCCACGTAGCCACTAAAAAATATACCTTCCTTACAATTACGTCATTATATCAATGTGTCGTTCTTTTAAAAACTCACTGCGTAGCCACTAAAAATATATCTATACTTTAGTATGATTATGTCATGTCAATGCTTCGTTCTTTTAAAAACTCCGCCGGGACTGCGTAGCCACGTAGCCACCGATATTTCTAGCGGGTCTTCAAAAGTGGACGGGTATTCTGCAATCGCTCCAAATTATTTATTGTTAGTTTCTGTTTGTAAAATCCTGTAATTACTAATTAGTTAATTAAGTGTAAAATCCTGATATTAAAGTTCACCGTGGGAAAATAAAGAAATCTTCTATTCTTTTCTATTCTAATGTATTCTGTACAGCACGAATACTGTTATCTTACTAGCCAGGAATTATGTCTTTGACCCACATATCATGTATAGATTTATTTCATCACAGGGAGGTCGGTTTTTATTTCATTACAGGGAGGCTGGTTTTGAATGACTTAGATTCTTGCACTTCACTTGGTGGAATTAATATTAGAATGTTAGGGTTTGTAATCCAAGTGAGAATATATACATTTTAAGACCTAACCAGGAACGACTGCGAAAAATGCAGCACAAGTCCTCTGGTAGGAATTGAACCTACGGCCCTGCTCTTCCGGTGCAGCGCTCTAACCAACTGAGCTACAGAAGTTCATGTATATACAGTATATAGGTAATCGGGTGTGCAGGTTGTGATAAGGTGGACTTCAATGACTTAGATTCTTGCACTTCACTTGGTGGAATTAATATTAGAATGTTAGGGTTTGTAATATATACATTTTAAGACCTAAGTACAAAATTTATTTACTCATATTTATTTACAAAATTTATAAAACAAGCGTGGCAAAGTACTGTTTTATTTGCTGTCTGTCAGTTTTAATCGAACGACCTTTTATTCTACATGCAGTTCAATAAAATGAATTTATGTATCGGTTTTAATATCGTTATTGTCAGCACTAAAATATTTTGAAATCTGTGTCTCACCCTACGGCTACAAATTGTGCATTTGAATTTCTGTTATATCTTTTTAAATTTTTGTATTTATCCGATCAATTTTTAAAATTCGGTCTGCAAACTTTATTTGTGTTACTTAAACGTTGGAGATTGTGTTAAGGTTTTTGATAAATTCCAATTTCCAAAGTTTCCAAATAATATAATAACATTTCCAGTTACTGTTGATTTTGACAATTATTGCAATTTTTGATTGTCGTGACCTCAACCGCTACAAATGTCAACTGATCAAAGATCGTTGAGTTTTGCGTTCGAAATTATGCCAGATAATTTCCTCAAATTGTAGTTCCTCGGCTGAACAATTGATACATTGTATAAAACATTTGGCTGCTTCGAGCGAGCGATTCAATTAAATTTGCACGTCGTTTTTAGACCGCGAGAGACATTGCGATATATAATCCTATCAACTGACCAACTAATTTTCGTATAACTTGAATATTTCGATGCATTTTAAAACATTTTTAAAGTTAATACTCGCAAGCTTCGCTCCTCGCCTGAAGATTTCACACTGAATATATAATTAGGGTCAAAAGCCTACTTAGGGGGTGGGGTAACGTAACACGGCCACTGATATTTGAGATACGTCTATTTTGTTCGATTTATGGCAGGCCTCTCTCCCAGAAAATTTTTTTTCAAAACCCATTCGCAGGCTAGAACCCATAGAGAGGCCTGCGGAGGAGGCTATCAAAGACAGACATTGCATCAGACGGATTTGTCTTCACATATGATCAGTCTCTGGTAATTGGGTGCTTTTAATATGTTCACTAAGGCAATTTTAGCATGTATTTCTAGTTGCCGTCGAGCTTTAGCGAGGCGGCACACTACTCTTGACATGCAATGATTTCTCCAGAGTGAATGATTTCTCCGGAGAGATTTTAATTTGCAAACATAATGACGATAAATTGTATAGCAAGATAAGAAGCAGCATTTTCCTTGTGACAGTAATTCCTAGTATTATATTTAGTCATTACTCATAATTATTAAATGTAGAATTTACAATTGTTGAGATGTGCTCACATTGGGAAATGACAGGGAAATTGCCTGGGAATGAGTGAGGAATGGTTTTCTTTACGCCAGCATAACAAGACTCTTGAACATTCAAGGATTTACTAATAATGCTGCATAAACAGTTCGAAGAACTCACTGAAACAGGTGACAAACATGCTGGAATTTTTTTCTTAAATCATGCAACCACTTGTAATAAAACAGATATAAACAAAGTTTGTATTGCTTGTAAACTTGAGGTCTACAGAGTTAATAGCAAAATCGCTGCAATTTGCAGTGTCAGCTCACACCAAAGTTGCTGTAAAATTATCTGAGTGATTACACTGAAGATTTCAAAACAATCGGCATAGAAATCGCAGTAAAGGTCCCCACACACTAGACATGATTTGGCAACAAGGCATGATTTTCCATTTTTCAAAAGCAAATAAATCGGTCTACAATACAACACATTGGTGAATATAAAAAGTAGACGAGTCTGGCAGTTGAAAGTCAGTAAAATTTTCCAAAGAGCAAATTTGTCGACTTTTGAAAACCAGAAAATTGTGCTGCATTGCCAAATCACATCAGCGATTTGTAAAAAGGTGTAAAATATTTGTTTACATTTTGCTCAAAATCACTTTCATTCTCAAACCAAACCCCTCAAACCTTTGAAACTAAGCATATTAAAATTCATCTATCATCGTTGCCAGCTTCTAAACAAATGCCATTGGAAGAAATATTTTGTCAGCGTGGCCGCCCGATTAATACCAATTAAATGTATATTAACCCATTAAGCACCAGCGCTCTCCCCTTGATGAGTAAAATCGTCTGGCGTTAGACAGAGTAAAATACTCTGGTGTTAGACAGAGTCAAATACTAAAGTAGGGTGCATCAGGGTGTAATGCGACTCAATGGGTTAACTAGACACATGGGCAGATAGGCCAGTTAACTACACACATGGGCAGATAGGCCAGTTAACTAGACACACAGGCAGATAGGCCAGTTAACCCATTAAGCCCCAGCGATCTCCCCTTGACGAGTAAAATCATCTGGCGTTAGACAGCGTAAAATACTCTGGTGTTAGACAGAGTAAAATACTAAAGTAGGGTGCATCAGGGTGCAATACGACTCAATGGGTTAACTAGACACATGGGTAGATAGGCCAGTTAACCCATTAAGCCCCAGCGATCTCCCCTTGACGAGTAAAATCGTCTGGCGTTAGACAGCGTAAAATACTCTGGTGTTAGACAGAGTAAAATACTGAAGTAGGGTGCATCAGGGTGCAATACGACTCAATGGGTTAACTAGACACATGGGTAGATAGGCCAGTTAACCCATTAAGCACGAGCGCTCTCCCCTTGACGAGTAAAATCGTCTGGCGTTAGACAGAGTAAAATCGTCTGGCGTTAGACAGAGTAAAATCGTCTGGCGTTAGACAGAGTAAAATCGTCTGGCGTTAGACAGAGTAAAACACTAAAGTAGGGTGCATCAGGGTGCAATGCAACTCAATGGGTTAACTAGACACATGGGCAGATAGGCCAGTTAACCCATTAAGCGCCAGCGCTCTCCCCTTGACAAGTAAAATCATCTGGCGTTGGACAGAGTAAAGTACTAAAGTAGGGCCAGTATGGAATGTCTGTCTTTTGTGCACCGGACAAAAAATCTACTGTCTCTCATGTGCACCAAAATGATATAAACTTGTGCACCACTAGGTATTCTGTGCACCACATTAAAGCTGCCCTCCATGGCTTCACTTAGTACCTACATGTACTTGATACTGTAGGATTAAGCTAAGTGTTAGGTATTAATTAAGGAAGTTGTACTGACTAATTGTTTAATGTAATAATGACCGCATTTCGTGAATGTGTCAGTGAAATCACAGCAACCAATTAACTTGCGTGGACTTGAGGATTTTATCATTTTTATTAATATTCCCCTTTAACATAGTAACATACATTAACAGGTTAATTAAGACTACAATGTTTGATTGTTATTTGCCATTGTCACTGGTACAATGCATTCACAATAAAGTTTTAGTAACAGCAATATACTGCTGCTAGTTTTCAAAAACAGAAAATTGCAATCAAATGTTGCATTGTTGCATGTTAACTTAATCTTAAATGTATATAAATGTTAGGAATAAAGTTACTCCATTAAAAGAATATCAATATTAATCTGGAACTTCCAATGTTCATGATAAAAATGGATAACGTCCTTTTTCTTGACACAGACGTGTTAAAATCTGACTTGCTTTGAGTCACGTGATTTCCTCTTCAACTTACCAACCCTATGGCGAGAAAGTCGAGGTTCTGCCATGCTTCCATCGACGTAGAATTTGGCTGCTTTTGCGATAATATCTTCTGAATTCAAAACATTGCTTGTGGCCCAATCTAGAATGGTCCTATCTTCCAAGGTCACATGGTGCTGACTGACCTGCTTCTGCGTATCCATAACGCTATAAAAACTCTCCACTATGGCTTCTGAGCCACCCATTGCAATATCAAATGATGTCATGGCTATGGGACCTGCTTTAGTGAAGAGTAATTCGTTAGTGTACAACATTCTGATCACTTCTTCTTCATCTATACTGGCTCTAAAAGGGGAATGGTTAGCAAACTCAAAAAGGAAGATGCTATTGGTATGCAGTTGGGCCATTTCTGATTGAACATGTTCCAATTTCATCAAGGAGGTTTCACAGTCTCCCTTTAATTGAGTTGCAATCCCATTCTCATCCTCTGGTTTAAGGCATGAAAGCAGGATTCCTTTCATGTCTTTATGCCAAACTAGGTACCTGATGCATCCTTTCCAATCATGGAGCACACTTGAATGCATTGTTTCATCGAAACGATCATCATTCAGCTCTTTTATGTGCTTTAAAGCACACACTTCTTTGAAAAAGAATTTGAACTCTTCAGTACCATGCTCTTCAAGTTCGCCTTCTTTTATTTTAATTCTCCCATCATCAAGCTTCTCGCCACATAAGTGGATGAAGACTTCTTCGATATCAAAGAAATCTGTCATTCCTGTTGCATTAGTGATGCATTTTTCAACACGATAATCAAGAGATTCTGCAAGATCGTTTGCAAAGGTGCTAACATCATGGAAGGACTCTGTCACGGTACGTTCTGCCCAGTTGACTAAAACTGTTTTGTTGGGTGGATTCGATCCATTCTGCTCCAAAACGGTTTCTGCGCCAACAATTTTTCAGCCAATTGCAAACTCGATGCCTTGATAAGTAGGTTGCAGTGTTTTATCCTTGTTTCCCGGATCAAGGCCAAGGATGTTCTAAGAGAAATACCAGTTTACAGGTTGCTTATTGGGCATACTACAGTAGTTATATCTAGGTAAACTGATATAAACAATACCTGTGCATTATCCCTCATTGTAGGAAAAAAGTCCATATTCCCATTTTCATGACACTGACGTGAAGCCTCTTTTAGCCATGTGATTAACTTTTGTACCCAACGGTAGGCTTTCCATGGTGGTACAGATATGCCCTGAAGATTGGTCATAACTCTTGCCACAGGTTCAAAAACGTCATGCATCAATAACAGGTCTGTGACAAAATCCTACAAGAAACACTCAATTGTTTTATCTATTTACAATTATGCAATATAGATAATTACTTAAGATGATTAGCTGGATCTGTACATACATGCCCTCGGACTTGATATTGCAAAGGGTCTAACTCGTTCTCCATTGCATTTGACGCTTGAGCCATTGCTTCAGCAAACAGCTTGTACGAATCAACAATCCGCTGCCACTGGACGTATGCAGAACTTGCAAAACGTGTCTGAGAATACACAGTTGCCACTGTTGGCTTCACGTTAAGCTGCTTTGCAGTGGATTCTAAGATGCTTTTTGCTGTTGAACAGTACAGTAATGAGTAAACCTTATAAAACGTTTTCACACAATGGTGTAGTTTCTTCGTCTATAATGTAAAACCTATGTTCAAACTAACCTGCGAATACAGAACTATTATAAATTTTGTATTTGCAGGCTATGTTCAAACATGAAAAATTACAAATGCTCATTTAAGGGACTATATGAACAGCAGTAGGAGAAGTGTATCTGAACAAACTCCATTTACAGTGGCTTAAACAATAGTCAACATTGACTGTAAACAGGAATATTTTATACCTTTTCCTCTATTTAAAGTCTCTGAAAATTTGTTTGTCTGTTTGATGACCGTAGAAAAGAATTCCCCATCTTTCCATCTTTCACATCGGTAACAGCCAAATTCATCCAATGAGATGGATCCCACCCAACTTGTCTTATAAACGAGCTTTCGTTAAGGTCATTTTGGTTGATAGTCTTAAGAAAGGCTTTTGCTTGGTGTACGCCATCAGCAGAAACACCTGAAAATGTATTAAACAATAAACATAGCTAGGATTGGGATGGGTATTGAATAAAAAAGTATTAAGTGTCAAGGTTGAATTGAAAGGACATTCAAGAAATGTACAATAAAGCACTCACCAACTAAGAAATCTAGGATTTTGCCTCCAAATTTGTTGGTGATTTCTTTAAATGCTTGTGCAGCTGAATCATCAGCTTTGCTTCCTTCCACATTACCATTTATACTTGGCGAGTATACTTCTGGTGCACCAACACCAATAGGAACTTTCTTTCCATCTATCATTGGACATATGATGACGCCTTGATTTGATCTTTTATTTACAGTAGCCTTGTCAACAGCCATGTAATAATGTGGGGGCAGGCCTGTACTTGGGAGACATTTGCTTACCTCAGCTTTTGTTTTCTCATGTATGGAAGCAAGCAAACACTTCACCATATCAGGAACCAACTTTCTTGAATGGCCGCATTGCCCCACTTGAGCACCTATGGAGAAAGCAAAAGCTATGTGATCTTCATAATAAATAGCTGCAGATTTGACCTTTACAGCAGTTAATGCACTTTTAAGCAACGTTTCTGCAGCATCATAATGAATCTTCTTTAAATTTTTCTCTTCGCTGAGCATCGTTAATGCCTTAAAATGGGTTTGGCCATCTTCGGCGCATATCATATGTCGAAGAATAGAACTTTTCATTTTTCGCCAGGATTCACCTTGCCCAGCCATAGCACTTTCCATTCTTTCTGGACTCAAATACTTCCCAGTACAAATACTTCTGCAGTCAGAGGCAAGTTTTTGCGCTGCTTTAACTGGAGTTAGCTTGTTTGCTTTATCTTTGTATAAAGAAAAACAAGTTTCACACCTTAATATAGCACCACCTTCTTTGAATAAACCTTCTTCATCTTCCTCTGACATTGGGTAAATTGCCAGGTCTTCCACATGGCTGACCAATTCAACAATGTTCTTAACCACTTTCCATTCTTTCATGTGATCATACGATTCTTTTATTGTCTCACTGAAATGTGACGATGGCAATGAGGCTTTGTTGGAACTTGTCGAGGGCTTACTAAGATTATCAACCTTAATTGTTAATTTCTCTATCATGCCAACTAACTTTTCCTCCATATTAGGCTTTGGAATTTGCACATATCCTTCAATGTCGCTTTGCACAAATGAACTGACTTCTCCCATACATCCTTTGTCTTTGGAAACTTTATCTTCATCTGAAAATATATATCAAACATATTGGCTGCAGTTACTGTTGCAGTTTGCATTTGGATGATTCAATTATTCACTTTACATACCAGTCAATGTTTCATTCGTTGATGAGGCATGGTTCGCAGATCTTATTTCTTTTGCATCTTTCGTTTGGGCAGAAGTGCTGGGTGAGAGCTCGTCATTATCTAATATCATCATACTATTTATACTTGATACAGAATTAACTGTTTTTGTTTGCTTGTTTGTCACTAATACTTTGTTTAGAAACTAAGGCCCTGATGTCCTTAGGGACAGAAATATGATCTAAAGGCACAACCTGTAATTTCACAGTACTTAGTGACAATGAGGGATGATTACGCTCATGGTGTCTTTTGATTTGATGAGAGCCTCCACGAGAAGGAATTGATAATGACTTGTCCTTTAGTTTGACATTCTTTGCGCATATTAAGCAAACTTGCCTATACTTGGTATAATCTCGCTTTGGTATGGTGGCATATCTTTAACTTGCTTCTCTCCTAGTTGCTTAGTTTTCATAAAGTGTATCATACTTAACTGACTGCCTGCCCCGCCTGTAGCAGGTGGATGCTGTGTAGCCTTTTTGGTAGGGACACACACATCATCGTCTTTTTCATCATAAGTTCTCACCCTCTTTCTGCTTCCATCCTGAAGGTAACTTGCAATATTGTCTTGTTCAGGTTCACTGTCAACGATCTCATTCCCATGTGTGTCAGATTGATCACTGTCAATCTCAGATGCTGAGCAAGACATTATGTGAACTAAAATTAAATAAAAATAGTTTAAATAATTGCTACAGGAATTTTGTGTTTTGAAGTGTTGTGTCAAGCCATTTTTAACGTGTCTCTTATATACATTATATTCGGGTTCTGCTACTCTGAGCTGCTTGCAAATGACATGAGATCATCTATATAAACAATTGTCAATGAGAACATCTAAACAATTGAACATGCATCATGCATTGATCTGGTCATGTAGTAGATTGACATTTTTGTTAAGAATTACCAAACTTGAGCCTTGAGGAAGTTATAACTTATAAATGTTCACCACTATGGGAATGTGTTATTTGCATTTTGGTGATTTCCAATCCATTTCAGTCCTCACTTAATTTAGCCCATCCAAATTTAATTACAGTAACTTCTATACATACACACTGCAGTTTACTAGTCTGTAGCCCTGTAGACAGGCTTTTTAAATTTAATATCGATCAAATGACTCAAATTTTCATGGGCATTTTATGGTCATAGACTCGTATAGTCAAAGAAATAAACTAAATAAAGTCAAACATTTAACTTGTTATTAATAAATGTTAAAATGTATATATCTATATTAATAATATTATACAGTACGATATAAATTTAAAATTCTATAATCGGCAGGACATTACATAAATACATAAAATTATACTTACCACAATTTGCATAATGGCATTTACATATTCAATTTATTTGTGTATTGGATTTCCAGTGCTGTGTATTGTGTAAAGACTGAAGACAAAACAACAAAAACAAAACTCATGCGTGCATGTCGTGCCGTTGCCCGCGAGAGTCTACAAGCCTCGTAGTTGAATGGTCAGCAGACGTTCTTCCAGCAAGTTACTTCATCTAAACTTCATAAAAGTAGAATGACATTTATTACTTAATATTTTAGGATAATATGTATGTTTTCACAGTACAGAGTTGGCTGATATGAACTTGCTTAGTTCAGTTAGTTGACTAGCTACAGACTTTAATTTGTAAACCACAATTTAGCCACTATTTTTTGTGCACCAGACATTACTGTTTTTGAGTTTTTGTGCACCAGTGCACAGCGTCTACATTCCATACTGGAAGTAGGGTGCATCAGGGTGCAATGTGAGTCAATGGGTTAACTAGACACATGGGCAGATAGGCCAGTTAACCCATTAAGAGAGGATGTCCACAAAAATCAAACATAAAGCGGCCACGACTGAAAAATCGATTTTGCTCAAATTTTGCCCAGATATACCTTATTATATCGGAAAATGCACCATATATTTTTTTAGGTCAAATGCTTTTTTAACTTTGAGAAAATGCCGTTTTAACACGACCACCCTAAATCGCCATTTTTTCTGGGAAAATATGCGCTGATTTTACAGATAAATTTCAAGACGACAACCGTTTCTAATCGATCTAAAATCCTAAAAATCTTGTTTTCGGTTATTCAAAGGACTGTGTACATGACTTACAGGAAATCTGAGTTACTTTTAGGAATAGAAATAATCGTAGTTTTGGAGCACACTATCTTACTTCATTTACGATACCCTCTTAACAAAATCGATTTTCACCATGCGATAAAGCTCCAAATCGATCATGCTTCTACTAGTTGGCTCTTTAATAAACAAGCTTTCAATTGACGTAAATACTTCTTTTGGCAAATGAATACGCGATAAACGACAGCGCGTTGAAATCTTCCGTTTTTGACGTCTTGCAAGTCAAACGCTGTTAATTTATATACCGTCGAAGTAAACAATTTAATCAAGTATTCTTAAGTATTTTACCTTTTGAGAAAAAACATATTCTTGAATGGGGACTTTTCGCTTTGCTAAGTTTAAAAGTGGTCCAGAAATCCCGGTATATTTGTAAAAAAATCATCAAACATCCAGCATTTTGAGACATTGTTGACGGCTTGCATGATAACTTCAGATCATTATTCAACGTGATCTACGACCCGGCCGTTTGACTTTAGCGCTAACATATACAAATCGATGAGCTATTTAAGGATTATATTTGCTACTAAATTCCCCAAAAGAATTGGAACTACAACTGCTGTTTTCAGAGGTTTTGATCCATTTTGTCCATATTAATGTACCATTTTATTTATCGACTGATGTTTACAAATACGTAAGTTAATTATTAAGCAGCTGTTAGCGTGCGTGTACATGTGAAATGAACGTTTATAATGTTTATCCATATAAGGAGTTTTCATTTTTAGTTTACCAGCCCTTATATTTGAATAGTCGTCGTTGAATAGTCAAGTTGTTTTCTCTTTTATACTCTGCAAAGTTGATTCCGAAATGTTAAGGTATTCGAAAAAACTATCGAACTTTTCCATGATTTTTACAGAGAAACGTCACAGCTGTAAACCCCCTCCCCCTCCCCCAAAACGAACATATGATGTTTCTTGTGGAAAAAATCGATATGTGAGGCCAGGGACGCCGGAACGATAATAGGGCAAAGGGGGGCGGACGCACACCAAGGGCACCTTTACTGAAAATTTTTTTTTCACTGCAAAATTTTTTGTCAAAAATTTTTTCCGGACATACAAAAATTTTCCGTGTAGCCAAAAATTTTTCCGGATATCTTAAATTTTCACCATTTCTTCAAACTATTTTTCTAAATTCCAAAAATTTCCCAAAATTTTTATAAATATAAACTATAAATGACCTGAATCTCGTGATTTTCCTACAAAAAGCATCGTTGGAAATGTGATTTATCACGTATTATTTTACAACTAAAAGGGCACTTCTGCCCCCCCTGCCCCCCCTAGCAAAAGGCAAGGGGGGCAGCCGCCCCCCCTGCCCCCCCAGTTCCGGCGTCCCTGTGTGAGGCTTCCCTAAAACTGCAAGGTTTACACTATTGATCTCATTAAAATCCCACAGACCACAACGATTATACGTATTGATTGTTTCTTGACGATAGTAGACGCGTACGTACAAAAGGTACCCTGGTTCTAGAGGTTTAAAATAATAAACCTCTGTTTGAAAGCGGCAATTAATTCATCGAGCCGCGCCAATCAGCTTGAATTAGGGTAGGTAGTTATGATAAGACAAGGGCGGCGCCAGGGCCGCCCATGCAGGGAGGCGGCAAAGGGAGCAATTTTGTCCTCGACCCCAGCTCAAGGAAGACAGGCAAATACAAATTTGCAAGGCGATAAAAAGTTTGTCGACGGAGGGGAGTAATTGTGGTTCACCGGGGCCCCAAGCGTATAATTGGCCCTGGGGCCCCATATTTCACTGAGCTGGTTTGGGCTGCGCCAGTATTTCTCCGACGGGGGGAGTCATCAGTGCTCTCTTTTGATCTTTGTCAATTGGCATCAAAACCGCAAGAACTACCGACAAGTGACCAGGGCCGGATTAACGTCGCGCGAGGCCCATGGCAAATTTTAGCGCGAGGCCCCCAAACCTCCCCCTTTCTTCTTTTTATGAAAACCATTGAATTTAAAGACACACAAAAGTGTTAAACAATTTTTTTCAATATTTCAATTTATTTACATCAATTATAAACGAGATAATGGCCTGCCTGGCGCAGTTGGTGGGTATAAACAGGATCATAATATAACAGCTCAACGCAACTAGAGATTATATGAACACGAGTATTGCATATTTTCCGGGGGCCGTGCTAGGGCGAACTGCCAAGCCTAGGGGCCCTAAATGCGCGAGGTCCCTAAATTCGCGAGGCACCTAAAATGGGTGTGTCGCAAAAGAAAAATGGCCGTGTTCTCGTAAAAATGGGCGTAGCACAGTAAAGCGCGAGGCCCGCGGCATTTGCCGTATTTGACACGTGGTTAATCCGGCGTTAAACGAGCAACAAGCTTTCATTTTCTTTAAACGCGACGTGTGGGGAGACAATAATAATTTGTGGTGTCGCGCTGGGCCAACATATCTCAATGCTGTATTTTTGGGTACTAGTACTTGTGAAATATAATAAGTTCAAACACTCATTAATAATTCATAAGCTTATTGGCAAATCATGTAAACTATAACATGTCACATGCAGTGGCTTTAAACCTGATAAAACACTCCTAATTAGTATTCTTTATATAAAGAATACTAATAAGGCAGTATCTATTGTTGTCGTGTCCTCATTAGTATTTTTTATATAAAGAATACTAATAAGGCGGTATATCTATTGAATTTGTATAGTCGTGTTTGAAGCCGTTTAATAAACTCGCAGGTCGTGTTTTATTAGGTCTAAAGCCACTCGCGCTGAGCGCTCGTGTCTTTAAACCTAATAAAACACTCCTGCTCGTTTATTAAACAGTACATCAATAGACATTAATAGTGTATCAAAATAAAGTAATTTTACTGATTATTTTAACTGTGCATCAAAGTAAACACACATTATTCTAAACTACAGTATTTGCTATATGCCTATAATTTGAGTTTGAGGTGGTAGAATATATAATAAAATAACAAATCCTTGTATGGATAAATGTTCATTTCACACGCACGCTATTAACAGCTGCTTAATAATTAACTTATGTATTCGTAAACATTTATACTCGATAGTCGATATGTAAATACTAAATGGTACATTATATGGATCAATGCAAACTGGAACAAAACAACAATTGTCAATTGAAGTTCTAATTTTGGGAAATTTAGTAACAAATATAAAATCCCTAAACAGCTCATCGATTTGTATGTTTGCGCTATTAAAAGTAGACAATATTGAACAATGATCTGAAGTTGTCATGCAACTGACAACAATATTATATTTCAAAATACCTGTATATGATGATATTTTACAAATATCTCGGGATTTTTGGACCAATTTTAAACTAAGCAAGGCAAAAAGTCTCCATTCAAGAATATATCTTCTTCTCAAAAGGTAAAATACTTAAAATACTTGATTAAATTGTTTACTTCGACGTTATGTAAATTAACAACGTTTGTCTTGCAAGACGTCAAAAACGGACGATTTCAACGCGCTGTCGTTTATCGCGTATTCATTTGCCAAAAGAAGTATTTACGTCAATTGAAAGCTTGCTTATTAAAGAGCCAACTAGTAGAAGCATGATCGATTTGGAGCTTTATCGCATGGTGAAAATCGGTTTTGTTAAGAGGGTATCGTAAATGAAGTAAGATAGTGTGCTCCAAAACTACGATTATATCTATTCCTAAAAGTAACTCAGATTTCCTGTAAGTCATGTATACCGTCCTTTGAATAACCGAAAACAAGATTTTTAGGGTTTTAGATCGATTAGAAACGGTTGTCGTCGTGAAATTTATCTGTAAAATCAGCGCATATTTTCCCAGAAAAAATGGCGATTTAGGGTGGTCGTGTTAAAACGGCATTTTCTCAAAGTTAAAAAAGCATTTGACCTAAAAAAATATATGGTGCATTTTCCGATATAATAAGGTATATCTGGGCAAAATTTGAGCAAAATCGATTTTTCAGTCGTGGCCGCGCAATGTCTCATATGTTCGATTTTTACTGACATTCACTCTCTTAAGAGCGTGTGTCTCTAAAAACCGCCCACTGACTTGGGGCTCGAAAAATAAATTTCTTCGAAACTTTTACCGTGAACTACATTTACTTTAACAACAAACAAATGCTGTTTGGAATTTTGAAAATATATTTAGTTTCAAAGTTTTAGCGATTTTTTGGTCTCGCACCATCGCGGGAGAAATTCGCTGGCTAATTAAACGAAAAAATGGGCTGAATTTAAATAAACATAATTTCAAAAGTTTTTGTTCAAAATTTCTGATATTTGCACCCAGCACCGGAAAACTATCGTAATTTCATCTAAACTAACTTAGGTTTTCAATTGCAGACCATTTGTGACAATATTTAGCGACAAAGTGCGCCATGTCAAAATACGGCTTTCAAATTCTACCATTTTCTACGCTGAATTTCTTAAAAGTGGGACCTAATTACATACAGTGATTAGTATAGTTGGAAAAAGGACACTTTGAAGTACTAAAAACCGTAATAAAACTCGTCTGCAAACGCGATTTGAACAATTGAGAGCATTGAAATTTGATACTATTTATGGCCTTTTGTTTACATTAGAATGTTGCTGAGGTCAGACGTCTGAGTTCATTGTCACTGCTAAAAATGCGCTGTAGTTCTGCCAAATAACATTTTCTCATTGCCCTTCTCTCAAAACAAATCGATAATGTCATAGTACTAAATTAGATTTCGCTGTTTATCTTACAAGATATTTAAATAGATGATATTAAACATATAAAATTGAATCACGGTAAACACTTGCAAAAAATGTCGCCCGGGGAAAACCCAACAAAAGCTTTTGTTTTGTATTAAACTATTACCTTTCCGGTAATTACGTCACAACTGCATGGAAGTGAGGCTGATGGGCCAAGGCGTATGCCATTATGCGTTTGCTTTGGCCCCTCAGCCTCACTTCCATGCAGTTGTGACGTAATTACCGGAAAGGTCTATTTCGATTATTATGTACTGCACAACCAGTCAATGTCATGCAAACATTGAAACACAAGTATACTTTTAGCATCCTATCATACACTGAAATTGGCACTTAGCGCATTTTCATTTAGGTGTTTTTTTTTTTTAAATGTAGCACTGAGTAAAGGCGAGGTTAAATGAGACAATTTTCTGCAATGCATTTTTAGAGTAGGTGCATGTTAAGTCGGACGCACACAAGGACATTATTATTTAACAAATACCTGACGTTTTCCTGTCATTTTCAGCGATTTTTCTTAGTTGATAGTAGTCGGTTAAGATCAGATTGTGTTGATCCGCTATTGTGCCCGAGTTTTACCGCAAACGTTGCAGTCGGCCCTCTACAACATCACGTGCGCTCGGCTTTACAAAGCACTACTTGCAAAAACTAGTCAAATTTGCGTAATATTGAGATTGCCGGATGATAACATCAACTTCACAGAAAGGTTCCAGAACTAAACTTCGCACATTTATAGACTTTTCGAACTAAGCAATAGTTTAGTATGCTGCAACGCAAACTCTAAATATAGCATGTGCCACAAATAGAATTCGCGCTGCATGCGGGCTTTTCCCCAAGTAGCATATTAATTTGGTCAAGTTGTTTATTTTAACATGCCTATTATTTAAATCCTTGGAACCACTTACGGTGGACATAAACAAAGAAATATAGATTAGTACAATACTGCTATAAACTTATTTGAGAGAAAGGTTATTTGGCAGAACTACGGCGCATTTTTAGCAGTGACAATGAACTCAGACGTCTGACCTCAGCAACATTCTAATGTAAACAAAAGGCCATCAATAGTATCAAATTTCAAACGCTCTCAATTGTTCAAATCGCGTTTGCAGACGAGTTTTATTACGGTTTTTAGAACATCAAAGTGTCCTTTTTCCAACTATACTAGTCACTGTATGTAATTAGGTCCCACTTTTAAGAAATTCAGCGTAGAAAATGGTAGAATTTGAAAGCCGTATTTTGACATGGCGCTCTTTGTCGCTAAATATTGTCACAAATGCTCTGTAATTGAAAACCTAAGTTAGTTTAGATGAAATTACGATAGTTTTCCGGTGGTGGGTGTGAATATCAGAAATTTTGAACAAAAACTTTTGAAATTATGTTTATTTAAATTCAGCCCATTTTTTCGTTTAATTAGCCTGGCGAATTTCTCCCGCGACGGTGCGAGACCAAAAAATCGCTAAAACTTTGAAACTAAATATATTTTCAAAATTCCAAACAGCATTTGTTTGTTGTTAAAGTAAATGTAGTTCACGGTAAAAGTTTCGAAGAAATTTATTTTTCGAGCCCCAAGTCAGTGGGCGGTTTTTAGAGACACACGCTCTTAAGTGTTTGGAAACTAAGGTTTAAAGGAATTTTATGGAAATCTGAGGAAATTTCGAGCTTTTCCTAAGGAATTCGAAAATTTGGTGGTGAGAGCACTGCCAAATTTGAAAACAAATTCAAAAATCAAAACATGTATTACAGCCAGACTTTTATATTTTCTGAAATTATCAGCCGGAAAAGGGTTAATATTATATGATTGTTTGTGATGTTACTCTTAGTGTATATTCACACCGGGCAAGCTACGATCTTTGGAATACTACCCCAATGCTCTGCCAATATATGGTTTAGGTAAGTTTTAATGTAGAGTTCCAAGTAAAAAATTTAGTTGATACGTTATTTCTAAACTTAATTCGTATTAATGGTATAAGTTTTAATTGATATTAAATATTGGGAAAGTGTGGAATAATGACAATGCACTGAATTGTGTTATATATAGCCTACGAATTTGTTAAACTAATTTTGACTATTGACAAGTTGACAACCAACTTGGTTGTCAATACAATAGTCAAAATTAATAGTTTTATAACAAATGTGAACCGAGATTACAGAGTGCTCCTGTAGATCACTATTTTGACTTTTGTGTTCAATAATTCTCTCAGAGAGATTCACTATTTAAAAATTGTAAACATAGCTTTTGTCTTGAAGGTTCTATAATAATATATTCTGCACTGCACATGTGGTGGATTGTGAACACATACACTTCTGATTTGTTCAGATTTTTGTGTTGAACAATTAAGTAGCTTAGCAGTTTATGTTGCAGGTTGTATAGTATATAAAGAAAATATATGTGATATAGAACTGTAAATTCTCAAATTTTTCCTTTGCGAACAAAATGGTTGTCAGAATTTTGTAATATCCCGGCCTTCAAATTACTTCACCATTTTGTTATAATTATTTCATTGCGAACAAAATGGGTGACTGAAATTCGGAGTCTCTTTTTGTGCTCATTCCGCCATTTTGTTATAATTATTCCATTTCGAACAATTTGGGTGTCTGAAATTCAGAGTCTCTTTTTGTGCTCATTCCGCCATTTTGTTATAATTATTCCATTGCGAACAATTTAGGTGTCTGAAATTCGGAGTCTCTTTTTGTGCTCATTCTGCCATTTTGTTATAATTATTCCATTTCGAACAATTTGGGTGTCTGAAATTCGGAGTCTCTTTTTGTGCTCATTCTGCCACTTTGTTATAATTATTCCATTGCGAACAAATTGGGTGTCTGAAATTCGGAGTCTCTTTTTGTGCTCATTCCGCCATTTTGCTGCGAAAATACCTGTTTACTTGCTGTTACTTTTACCATATATTCACTATGCAGTAAAAATATATTTTATAAATAAGGGATTTTGAGGAAATGTTAAAGGTAAACATAAAATTCTGGGTTTTTTAAGGAGGGAAATTAACCTTTCCTCCAAATTCATTAATATTAATTGATTTTAAGTTGGAAATATATAAAGTTTGCAAAAATGTACAAAATCACTGCTAAAAGTAGCAGTAAATTTTTTATTCCGCAAAATTGAAATAAATTATTTTTACACATTTTTACCAAAAACGAATATATTTTACAAATTTAGAGGAAATTTATAGTGATTTAATGTATTTGGTTAAATTGTGCAGAAAAATTAGGCAAATTCTGCAAAATTAAGGATATTTTGTGTGGATTTAGTAGTTTGGAATTATTGAAAATAGTTTGGAACGCGTTTTTCTTAATATACTCTTGAAAATTGTGATTCGAAGTATCAATTTTGCTAGCTAAGTCAGGCCCAATATTTGAAAAGAATTCGTTAAAGCCCTCTGCAATGTCTTCTGAATTTGTTAAATTATTTCCACTTATACTCACCTCATTTACTTTTGTTGGTTTGTTTTGTCTGCCTAGTAAGTTGTTTATTGTTTTCCAAGCCTCCTTTGGATTTTGTTTTTGACCAGCAATTCTCTTGGAGTAATAATCCTTTTTGGCTTTTTTCATTTCTATATTTACTTTATTTCTGGTTTGTTTATACACTAACCAATCTGCTTCAAGGTTTTTAATAATGGCTTTTCTCTTAGATCTATCCCTCTTATTTATAAGCTTTTTGATTTCACTAGTAATCCAAGGGACTTTTTTTGATCTGATCTTTTTTTGTTGAATGGGTGCATGCTTATTTAGTACTTCCTCGAACAATTTCTTCCAAATCTCCCACATAGTGTTTGGATTATCAGCGAAGAAGTATACATATTCCCAATGCTGATTAAGTAAATCTTCAACAAATTTTTTGTCATCAAAGTTTCTCATATTTCTAATTTCCACTATGTTTTCATCTTGTTTCTTAGAAATATGGATTTTTCTGATGGTAAATACCAAACTATGATCACTGATTCCTGTATGAATGACACCAGAATCTGAGATTTTCTTTGGTGTATTAGAAACTATATGATCAATGAGGCTGGAGGTTGTCATGGTTACCCGAGTAGCTTCCTTAATTAATTGTGACAATTGATATAGTTCATACAGTGATTTTATTTTCTTGGTTGGTGTATCGGATTCTGTTTTAAGCATGTCACCATTTACTGATTCCGACGATGTACCGAAGTATACTGATTCCGACGATGTACCGAAGTAAGGTCAACATCGACGGTTTGAAAACGTGTGAAGGGCGTTCGTGGGCGTTCGTCACTTAAATTAACTGTGCTTAGATCATTAAAAGTGCTTTTACGTCATCCGAATGGGAATATTGTGACGCGAAACCCTACAAACGAAAAGTGGCTGGACCACAGTGACGAACGCCCTTCACACGTTTTCAAACCGTCGATGTTGAGCTTAATACTTTTATATAGTACATCATCAGAATCAGTATTTACAATTTTACATCCATGCACGTTAATTGTTTGCAATTATCCTGTGCTATTTCCTGACGACTGGCCAGTGAGATCACCTTTTGTATCGCTGCTGAATAAGAAAAAATAGCCACGATCGATGTTCAAGATTAGATCGAGGATTAGATAGCAACAATATTGAAATCAACAAATACTACGGTTTTCCACTGACTTGGTATTGACCAATCAGGTGATCGTATTCACCGTTCAGAATCTGAACGGCGTGTAGTCATGAAAGGTGGGCTTTCCTGCAGGCCCTTAATCCTCCCCCGGAGCCCGCCAAAATCCTGCCCTCTGCAAATCAGCCCCCCCCCCATAAATTTGAGGGTCTGCCACGCAGGCTATATGCTATAGAGAGCTTAAATGTGGTGTAATATGTAAATATGTTCCCCACAACCGGACATTGGTGTTTGACAGATTATGATTAATTAGCGTCGCTGGGAAAAAAAATTATATTATAACATACTAAGCATAATATTAAACATTAAAAGTCTTGCATGATATTTCCTTTATAGTATCAATTCGTAATATTGTCTTAGTAATTAGTTTGTGTATATTAGAACCAGGCAATAAGATCTGGTATATATACGTATCCAGTGAAATAAATTTGGCCCCCCCAGGGCCAAATTTCCTAGGAAATTTGGCCAGCTTCGGAAATTTGCCCCCTCGAAACATAGTTTCCCTTATCGCTTATAAGCTCGGAAATCGTGAAGCTTCTTCTAAAACCAAGATCCTAAAAGTGTTTGTCAGTATTTATAGTTAGTTTGCATAATTTATTTGTGTCGAAATTCTTCGTTGCGCCAAGAGCTAAAAGTTTGAAGGAAAGCGTAATAGTAATAATGTGCTAGTGCAGTCATGCCAGACACATCACCCATGGGTATCTGTAAAGTACAACGTTAATGTATGATGGCTTAGCTTTAAGCTAAGAACACGAAACGATTTTTAGAGATAGGAATTTCTAAGATATTACAAGTTATTTAGATCTATAAATTCAGTCACATAGTATAAAATTAGTCAGAATAACAACCGCACTTTAGCAAACGATGATATCAAGCGTTGGCGAATATGTTAATATGCACGCGTCTAGTAAATAACAGGGAGCAATTAGCAGTAAAAGTAGAATTTTAAGTGGAAACGTTTGTTCGAGAAACAAAATTAAATTTATTTATTTATTAAAAACATCTTTAAACACGGTGACTAATCAACCAGTATTAAAATATTTACAAATCGAAAGGTTGCTTTTCATTAGGCCGTGATGAACACAAACTACAACTCCCCCTCCTTCCCCCAGTGAACCCCTCCCAAAAAGTGTAAAAGATACAGTTACTCTTTATTTAACTACCCCTCCCCCCCCCCAGTGAAGCCCTCCCAAAAGTGTAAAAAATACAGTTACTACTAATTTAACTGACACTTTGTTTCCAGACTTTAGCAGCAGCATATCTGAATGTTCTTTTCAAAGAATTAGTTTTTGCTTTCGCTAGTACAAGCTTGCTATTGTTGCTTCTTAAGTCGTATCGTTCAGAATTGGACATTATAAACATGTTCGAAATGTTTTCAGGGCACTGGCATGCAAGAGCCTTAGATACACATTTTAATTGCTGCTCATTTCGTCTTTCTTCTACTTTCTTCTAACGTTTTCCAGTTCAGTTTACTCAAAATGTCAAGGGAGCGTACTTCGTATGAGTCACCTGAAATAACCCTTGCCGCTCGGTTTTGGAGTCTCTGTAACATCCCTTTTAAGGTTTTCCCACAGTTACCCCAAACCATTGAACAGTAATCAAAATGTGGTTGAACCAAAGCTTGAAAGAGATAGGCAAGAGTTCCAATTGAAACAAATGGTTTAATTCCGCGTAACATGCCAATGCCTTTTGAAAATTTTTTACTGATGTTCTCAATTTGCTTGTCCCAGCATGTGGAGCGTTAACTCGCTGGGGCTATACAACTATACACATTACTGTACAATGTGACATGATACATACAGTACATAGCTCTTTCAATGCGGTAGGCCCTACAAGTAAAGTTATATTTAGTACGCTACATTCTTCTTCAAAACTGTCAGCCGCCAGTTGGTCTAGGATTAAACTGCGCTTTAAAACGTTCAAAATAAAATATTTTGGGGGCTTTTGGGCTCAAAATACTATCAAAATGTAGCGATGAGTGAGACGAATCCACTGGTATACGGCCGAAAAAGAGAAAACCAATGATGCCAAAGTTATCAAGGGTCAAACGTTCTGCATTTTTATAATTAGTTTAATATAAATATTGAGCGATTGGCAACATTACAATTTCGCTTGGCTTTCAAAGACAAAGGCCATAAATCGGTAGAACACTGTTGTTTAGTAATACATTTGACATTCGTAATTAGTACAATTTCTAACGCTGAATTAGGCATTACAAATGGGCCATTAGGCATTACAAATTTTATACAAAACACTATGAAACCTACTGCGAGCGATTTTTCAACAATACAATTTCGCTTCATTTTCAAAGGCCATAAATCGCTAGAATACTGGTGCTTAGTAACACATTTGACATCCGTAAATACAATTTCTTACGCTGAATCGAACGGTGGTATTTTTATCCCTATTGCGCCATTAGGCATTACAAATACAAGGACAAACCTGTGGACAAACGTAGTGCGAGTGATTTATGATCAACAATTATACGTACTGCGAGCGATTTTTCAACAATACAATTTCGCTTCATTTTCAAAGGCCATAAATCGCTAGAATACGGCTATTTAGTAATACACTTGACATTCGTAAGTACAATTTCTTACGCTGAATCGAACGGTGTTGCTTTCTTCTCAAAATATATTAAAGCAGCGACAGCGCAGTCAAACGTATAAACTTTTATAAACTTGCGATTTGCGAAGGTTGCTGTTTCCATGCGAAATTCCTTGTAAAATTGTTCAATTTTCCCGAATTTTCCTCAAAATGGAGGGCTATTTATAGATAATTTGGGTAAAATTGGCAGGAGCCTTATGGATAATTGGGGGAACATTAGGCAGCTCATTAATATTCTATTTTGTGGCTATCGACGATTGGAGATCCACTATTAGAGATTGCCGATCCGTGAAAAATGCAAGCCGAAACCTATACTCGTCTGGGGCACAGTGCCCCAGCGAGTAATTATAACGCCCAAAGTTTTCTTTGAGTTTACTTGTTTAATTACTTTGCCATCAATGGACACAGTGATATCTTGCGAAAATCTAATCAATCTTTTGTGAGTTCCAATGACCATATACTCTGTTTTTTCTACCTTTAATGTTAATTTGTTTGAGACGAGCCATTGATGAATATTGCTCATTTCATGATTGAGGGTTTTTTTCCAAATTATTAAGACCATCTGAACCAACCGTTATATTTGTGTCATCAGCATACGTTGCGGCATGTGAATTTTCCAAACAGTTTGGAAGATCATTGACATATATCAAAAATAAAAGAGGGCCAAGGTTTGACCCCTGTGGAACCGGGGTTGATTACTTCGTAAAAAAACCCTTTTCCTATGCATTTACATGCACATACACAGTATATATAATCGCTCATATGGTTGGGATGCATTATAGAAGCATTCCGTAAAAACGAAAGTAGACTGCATGCTTCATGGCTCACAAAAACATTCCACACACACAAAAGCACAAAGGTTTGCAATTGAATGACGTTCCGTTTCCTTAGCTTAATGATACAGCCATTATTTATTAACGTTGTCTTCTACAAAGCCGGTCAAAACCAAACGCGAAAAAGTTACGCAAACTTACTATAAATGTTGAGAAAAATTTCTAGAAATTTGTTTTAGTAGAAGCCTTACATTTCCGAGCCTAAAGATAAAACAAACTATCATTTTTTAAGGGAGGCCAAATTTCCGAAGAGGGGGCCATATTTCCTAGGAAATATGGCCCGGGGAGGGGGGAAATTTTCGGGGTGTGCCAAATTTCCTGTGACACCGGGCGGCCGCTACTGATGATATGATATCACTAGTGGTGATACGATGATATGATATCACTATTCTGCAATACTTCCATTTGTGGAAAGTGGTTTTGATGGTCGCTTTGAATCTTCCAATATTTCCTTGCACGCTAGTTATCTTATACTGATTCTGTTCAATTGGGATGGTATATAGTTTTAACTCGCAATAACAGTTCTTGAGTATTTTCGGAACCAGAAAAACAAGTTTGTAGATTTGCTATAGCATCGCGAAGCAAATCTTTCTACAAGTGGTCTAAGACTGGAACAACGCGGAATGATGGATATATGGCCACCAGTGGATTATGCAGGGTACGAAGGGATCGATCGATAACGCACGGAGGCCTGGACGCGGATCAATGATGCGACCGACTAAAAAATATATGCATAGCCGGCAGCCGGCGGCTATTTTAAACCATGCAGAAGGTGCAAAATAAAATCAGTAAACGGTCGTATCTTACTTGATTTAGCATCAATTTTACTGCAACTGGTTAAAAATTAAGTAAAGATTGCTTAAAAATTGCTTAAACATTGCTTAAAAATAGTTATAAATTCCAATTCCTGTGAATAACGCACGAATTTCGAAGTGTAATTCTGGTAAAAAGGGAAATCTGTTGCCCCGTGCTGCCCCCGCACTGTTCGGGCAATGGGGGCAGTTGCCCCCGCGGCTCCGGCGCCCCTGAGTATGTATATATTTTAATTGAAAAATCCGTTTTCGTAATCAACTATTTTCTTTCCTTTCGGACTTTTATTTCAATTTTTCCGGTCTTCGCTGTTATTTTGGTATAATAAGCCTATGGTTCGGGCTGAAGTCTTCAAAATATCAACTTCAGGCCCATCGACTCAGTATACGTCACATATTACCTTGCCAACAGTAAATTAAGGACTGTCCACAGGGATTATTTCCCCTTGGTCAAGTTAAGGACTGTCTGTACAAGTCCAGTACCTTTGGTCAGGTTTATAAGGACTATCCTTGGGAGTTTAGTGCTCCCTGGTCAGGTTAAAGACTCTTCCAAGTGTTTCTTGGTTCGATGTTCGTCAGAGACTGGCCACTCCTTGGCAAGGCTCTCAATTTTATGAGGAAGGCACTAGATAGGATCGACCTTCAGAATTGGTCTCCGGTTTTCAACGGGTGAACATTTCAGCTGTAATTTTAATCTTCTTTTCCTTTGGATGCAGTATTAAATATTTACGCGATCGACGGCAAGTTAAATCGGTAAGTTTTATTCTAACACACACATTTTTACTACCTTACATAAAAGCAGAATTCTTTATTATACAATTGATCTAATTATATAATCTTTACTATAAAGTAGCAATTGAAGTACAAAAGGTGTATTTACATGCACTAATATACTATATATTTAATACCAGACAATATGTTGTCTGATGTCACCAACCTTTACATTAATTTGCTTTGAACATATGCTAAGTCTGGTGTAGTAGAACTGCTGCAGGCTACTGCTAAATCCACCTGGATTAAATTACACAAATCTACACCATTTAGGGTCCAGAAAATAAATAATAAATACACCTTTGCAGTTCAATTCATTAAATAATTTGACTAATGTCTCTGATTTTTCTTGTACTTAGAATTTTCAGCGTTGCCCCGGGGTCGAGGAATTTGCTAATAGTGATTAAAAAATGACAAATCCCTGGGATGTTGCCCAGCCTTTGATGGCAGTACGAATTGACCCGTGCAATACCAAAACTATATAGTGCCATTCAGTCACAATTCTTGGGTTTCATATGACGTCACAAAAGTGACGGGGGATCAACTCTAAAACAAAACACAGCTATCAGAGTGAGTTGATTGTTTGTTTTATGTATTAAATTAAATTAACCTTGTGTTTGGTGGTAAATACATACAATTTCGTATTATTTTCTCACTCCAGTACAACATAAGCATGAATACATTTGAGGTAACCCCCCGTCACATTCACTGCATTATGCCGTAGTGAAACCCAAGAATATGTACATCCTGTTGATAATGACTATGACTACATCCTTTGTCTGCTAGGGATGCTCGCTCTCATGAATCAAGACATTGAATGCAATTTGCTCACAATTCATGAGCCAATGAGGCTCCCAGCTAGGCTAAGGAGAGATTTATGACAATCCTGCTGTTCACCATTCAGTCACTCATTAGAAAGGACCTAGCAGCCATTAATATGTAATTAACATAAATGATTAGTTTAAACTCTCAAAAGTATACAAATTGCAGTGCGTAAATTCCAGATTATTACTTGTCTCACAAAAAATGCTCCCAACTTTGTTTTGAAATATGACAACATTATCTTTGCTAAAAGTTTCAGATTTGTACATAGAACCAGGTAGAATATCTATTGTATCATTTTCATCCATCACTATTTGACTGATTAAAATTAATAAACAACCGTATGTTTGCCTTTTAACCCATTGAGTGGCAACAGTATAGCACTCTCCCGTGACGAGTAACATCGTCAGGCATTAGACAAAGTAAAATAATAAAGTAGTGCGCATCTCGGTGGATTGCCATGCACTTAAAGGGTTAACAGGGTGCATGGGAAGATAGTCTGATTAACCTGTCGGAACTAATGTAAACACTAACAGCAAACGCTACTAATCAACTAACATAAATAATATAAATAGTTGTTTATTATACTAACTTATAATTACTAATTCACCGGAAGTGACGGCACTAATACATTGTTGGATTTAATTATAGCCAATAGACAGCTTACGAAGAAATCCTATGGGAATTCCTATAGGATCCTGTAGGAATTCTTATAGGAATTTCTATCAGAATTTGGCCCAATTTCCTATAGGAATTCCTATAGGAAATTGGACCAAAATCTAATAGGAATTCCTAGGAATTCCTTAGATTTGCATAGAAATTCATATTGCATGGTCATATAGAAATTCTTGCATAATCCTCTAAATCAAATTGCCTAAAAGAGTAATTTACCAAGGTGAAGGAAAAGAGAAACAACTAGTGAAAAAAAATTTATTACAGATAAAAATGTGGCAAATATGACAAGCTATAATTTTTATTTACAAATAACATACTAATTTAGGCTATTTATCTTTTTAACTTATGACATCTTTTATTGTTCTCAGTTTAAGAAATGTTTCTTATATTTTCTTACTTTTAGAAAATTTGGAGACAAAAAAATTATACTTAACAAATATAAAACATTTTCCGTGTTGATATACAGTTATATCAACACGAGTGGAATTGGGAAAACGGGAAATTGTATGGAAACACGACGCCCGAAGGGCGGAGTGTTTTTATACAATTTCGAGATTTTCCAACTTCTCCTAGTGTTGATATAACTATATATCAATACGGAAAAAATGTTTTATATTTTTTTTTATAATATAGCGATGTCAAAAGCCCGAAGGATAAGAAAAATTTCGGTGTTTAGAAGCGGCGGAAAATTTCCCGTGTTGACATTGAGTTATATCAACACGGCTCTTAGCCAATCAGCGTTCATAATTTACAAATGCTATATTATAATTAACAAATATAAAACATTTTCCGTGTTGATATACAGTTATATCAACACGAGTGGAAATTGTGAAAACGAGAAATTGTGTGGAAACACGACGCCCGAAGGGCGGAGTGTTTTCACACAATTTCGAGTTTTCCCAACTTCCACGAGTGTTGATATAACTATATATCAATACGGAAAAAATGTTTTATATTTGTTTTATAATATAGCAATGTCAAAAGCCCGAAGAATAAGAAAATTTCCGTGTTTACAAGCGGCGGAAAATTTCCCGTGTTGACATGGAGTTATATCAACACGGCTCTTAGCCAATCAGCGTTCAGAATTTACAAATGCTATATTATAATATATTATATTACCTGGCTGTGTCACTACATTCAGGGATAACGGAACGATAAAAAGGCAGGGGGGGGGGGTCAAACCCACACCAAAGGGCACCTCTATAGACCCCGGTGAAGATATACCCTACAATCATGTGTTGACTTGCCAATGAAAGCGAATGCACTTAATCAGGTCACATTCAAGATCACATTATCAGGTAGCATTTTTATAACTGAAAGGGCACTTCTGCCCCCTTGCCCCTCCTAGCAAAAGGCAAGAGGGGCAGCTGGCAGTCCTTCCCCCCAGTTCCGTCGTCCCTGACTACATTTCACTGGTATACTATATTTTTTCGATAACGCTCACAATTTCTTTCTTATTAATATACAGTTTTGAAGTTCTGACTGAGTACAAATTTTAATCCTTACAAATGAATGGTGCCATCTGAAGCTGATGTACTAAATTAACAAAAATGACAGTTGTTCTGTGATAGGGGTACTTTTATATTATAGTATTTCTATACATGAAATTGATATTAAATTTTACATGTCCAATGATTCATTCAAGTATTATTATTGTTGATGTATATTTATTATATAAAGTATAGTGCTTTATAGAGATTTCGAGCACTGATGAAACTGATAACCTCACAATGTGAGATTATTTATGATAATCTCACATATGAAAATTATCGCTTTTCAATTATCGCTTTTCTGCAAAAAATATCGCTTTTCAAAGACTGTCCTTTATATAATAAACAGAAAAATACAAGGATGCTTGGAAATACCAGATTTATTTCTCGAAATAAGTCTGGTATTTCTGCGCACCCATGTATTATTCTCTATATAAATATATAATATTGTATAATATTCAGTGACAAACTAGTCATGGCAACTTGTCATGCTATGCCCTCTGTGCTATGCCTATGCTGATAATCTTGCATCTATTTGAATGATACAAATCATTAAAAACTTGCATAGCATGACTTGTTGCTATGGCTAGCTATGTCTAGCTTCACCACTGACAGCATTATAATTATACCTAACAAAAGCAAGAAGTTAGAAGCATTGAAGGTATTCATATAAAACCACAGGTGGCCCAGGCTCTGTGTGGAAATATATTTATTTTTAAATTTTATTATATGGTTCAACTGCTCTTAGGAAAAAACTAGTAAGAACTTAAATCAAACACAAGTGATGCAAATTATTGTGTGGGAGAATGGGTCGTGGGGGTGAAGTACTCCGGTTTAACATACAGTAACTGTTATAAAACTGTGTACATCGCAAAGACACATTTAGGCCTTATGCTTTCCTCCTGTGAAGGGATCTATAAGCCCCACTAGGAGAGACTGAATGCCCTATAGGGGTCATAATCCTCCGATAGAGCCCTGCCAGAAGGGTAGCGACCCCCTCTAACATCAACCTGAACCAAGGGGTCATAAACCCCTAGGCCAGTTCCTACGATTCGACTGATTATATATACATTAAGTTAACCTGAGTCTATGGGCCTGAAGGTGATCATTGGGAGCACTTCATCCCCACAAATACACGAAGTGTATTCCCCATAGACGAAGAAAGGCCACACGAACGTTGCACTTTGGTATGGATATTTTTGAACTATTATTTCTCTTTGAGATAAATATTATTCTCTCTTTTTGCAATATAATTAAGTGTTGGCAAGCATGGCTGATACTCCTGATAATGTAGAAGTAGGTGTCTGTATGTAACGTTCATGGCAATCAGATGACCACCGTCCTAAAGTTTTAATAAGCCACGAAGGTAGTTTTGCTTCCGCTGCAGTCGTTACTGCACCTATTTTGCAGCTATGACCAGCATAATTCAAAGCATTGAAGCCAGCTTTAGTGAGCAGCTTCCGGGTTTCAGTGGTTAAAATTTGTTTTGTAAGAGGTTTTCCGGATGCATGAATAACAGAGGACCATTTATGGGGGGCTGTAGTGACAGTTAGTTTTGTAGAGCTTGTACTGGACAAATATCAGAATTAGTAGCCCCAACTGTTATAGTATGACCCAAGCGAAAGGGGTCCGTTTTGGACTCCAAATTATGGACGATCATGAATTCTGGACCTTTTGTGCCAGATCTAGGTGCAAAGAGGATGCTGTCACGGGTAAGGTGTATGTTCGGATTGAATTTACAGTTACATGTTAACTCTCCGAGACGGAGAAACTCAAAAAAGGCTAATGTCATGGCTGCCCAGATCATCAGAGAATCAAAACTTTGTGTGTTGGGTATGCCAAGTAACAATCTGAAAAGCTGCAAATGGTGGATTGCGATTGGGAGGCGGAATGTCACCATGGGAGCGTTTAATTCCTCGTAACACAAGTTGCAAGCGTAACATTTTGTGCAGATTTAACTGGAATCCATGCCGGGTATGGTAGTGACGAACTGCTGCTAAGTATGTTTTAATGGATGGATATTTGATAGATTTTGCAAGAGATGTAACAAATTCTGTCAACAGCAATTCATCAGCTGGTAGACACTGCTCAATATGTTTTCGCTTGTATAAACGGATGAATGTTATAAAGCGTTTTTCTCCCTAGCTATAAGTTTGTTGTGTTGTAGTTGCAAGAGATAAATTGATGTAATGCTGGATGTCCGCACTCAGAGAGTCATTAGAATTTCTGGAATTTGGCAAGGTCTGGTGTCTGCCTGTGGAGCCAATTGTCGAAACCCGAGATGTGGACGAACAATGGCAAGGTATAGAATACGGCGAACGTTAACGCCATTTTTGTTACTAACAGAGCGGCGAACACAGCCAAGAGATTTGTTGGCTGCTGAGGTTTGTGCAACTACCTGGGACTTCCATAACAAAGTGTTGGTTACCCGTACTCCAAGGTCACGTTCTTCGTCGAGTCTTCCAATGGGCTTACCGTTTACAGCATACTCATGGATTAAAGATGATTTTTCCGAGTAACTGTCTGACAATTTGTTTTAAGTTCGTTGAAGTTTAACCCTGATGATGCTGATTATGATGATGTTGATGATGTTGATGTTGATGATGTTGTTAGGTAGACTGGCTTTCATGTTAATGGTGTCTAATAGGATGCCTAATTAAGAATTCAATTACTTGTGAAGGGCCTTGTGTTTTCCCTGGGGCTATTGGGATCTTGATGTTTTCGAGAGTAGATACCATTTTTTTCAAGCTTTGTTGGCAAACTCTGTTCAAAGGTGGTATAACTGCTGGGGGTTCGATGAGAAGATATCATCGAAAATGTGACATACAAATGAGATGTTACATTTATGGAGGAGAATCCACTCAAGTGCATCTGAAAGTCGGTTAAAGATGGACGGGGCACTCCGTAACCCAAATGGTAGAGCCTTATCATAATAGTATTTCCCCTCCCAGCACATACCTAAAAGGTCATAGTCATCCAGATGAATTGGTACTAGCCTAAAAGCTGATTCAATTTCAGTTTTAGCCAGAAAACAGCCTGAGCCAAACTGCTTAATACCCTCAGTAGCATCATCTATTGTGATATACTGGAGACTAAAGTCTTCTTTCGAAATGCTATGATTTATGCTGGTTGAGCCTGATTTCGGATAAGACAAATCAAAAATTGTACGGAATTTAGTTGAATTCTTTTTTGGCACCAAGCCAATTGGTGAAACCTGAAAATTCAGAAAGGGGGGAGAATCAAAAAGGCCAGTCATGTGACCAAGGGAAACTTCAGTGGCCAAATTTGAGGAAACAATTTGCGGGTTAGCAAAAGCAGTAGGCAAAGTTTATGAAAACCTGGGGGCGCGTTGCCCGTGAAAACCTATGTGCACACCGTGAATAAAATAGTACAAAGCTCTGAAACAAATTTTTTTGTCCGGATGACCTGACAGGGCTTCTTGTAGGTTGTGGACAGAGATGGGGGTAGGTAATGACATCTGTCACGTTTTAATCTCGAAGATTTTTTACCTCGTTTTGAGGTTTGCTCTTCGACCTCGGCTTGTTTGGAGTTCAGAGAGGGACAGAGATACCCTGGGCGTGTTTGATTACACTTGTTACACACATGGCGGTATTGGCATGACTGTCGGGAACACAGACCAGCTCGGTTGAATTCATGGCAAAAGCCTCCTCGTTCGCCCCCTGAGGAAGCCCGGTTTTGGGGTGTATTGGAAAAAATAGGATATTGTCGTGCAAGCATATCCGGTGCGATGGTAAATATCATCAGCCATAGTTGTTGATCAATAATGGACCAGTCGAGACTAGGATTAAGCGCCGCTTTACATCGGAATTTATGGTCGTATATACACCAACCAAGGCCACGCTGAGTTTGGGCTGCATGGCGTATCAAACTCATGTATTGAAGGAGTTCTTGGGCCCGACCGGGAAACTGATGGGTCACAACACTTATATACCAGGTATACGCGGTTGTCCACTGTTCAATATCAGTGATTCTGGCGGTTGGCTGAGATACCTTTTTGGCCTTAATCACAGAGTTCTCAAGCGTTAAAATAATGGGCTCATCGGGTTGGTTACCTGTCGACATGTGTTTTGATAGGAGTTTAGCTAGATCGAAAAACTCACCCGACTGGATTTGCTTGACGTATGCCGCTGGAACCTCGTGGAAGCCATTTCCGTATGGGAGTCGCTGTGTTGCGTTGGTCGATTGATTTGCATTTAGCGTGGCGATATCGCCTTTGTTTACCAGACATACTTCGCTTTCGTCTGGGACGACGGGAATGTTGTTGACTGCGTTGCTTCAACTAGCACAAGACGTCGAGTTTGATATCGCTTGAACGGCAGCCCGGGCTGCTTTTGACGCTATCTCGTCCGCAGCTTGTTCTACACAACGAGAGGCGATCGACTGAATTTGTGCCAATTGCGCTTCTGAAAGCAGAGGTTGCATGCGATTCCGTTAGCAAGTCCGTAGGCGGTGTTTGCGGTTCTTCGGTTGTAGACACGTTTAAATTCTCGTGAGATGTGGCGTGGTGATGTAAGCGAGCATTGCGACGTACATGTGTCGGGAGTCCCTTCTCGGCGCACTGTTCACGAAGACTTGTAATCGTAACTACATTATTTCTGACGTTGGAAACGTTATTGCTTGACGCACGTCCCTCATTTGCATCCCCCTACGAAAATCAACACTATTTTAACTCTATTTTACTTTCTATTTTATTCCTATAGAAAAGTTATTTTATTTTTAACCCTATCATATTGCTATCACATATACAAATCCTATATTAAACCTATTAGAACTCTGTTTTAATTGTATTTTATAGCTATTATAAATAGGTTTTTTTGAAACAAAAAATAGCCTATTTTAAATAGATTTTATTTTTCTGAATCGGTGAAGCGCAGATTAAAATAGGTTTAAAATAGGATAAAATATATTTAAAATAGAGTGCAAAATAGAAATAAAATAATAAAGTAAAGTGAAACATTGGTAATAAAATAGATTTTAAATATACATAAAATAGGTTAAAAATAGTCGAAAATACATATAAAATAGTGGATCAACTGCAGTATATTAACTAAAAATAGTAATAAAATAGTTTTAAAATATGAATAAAATACTGATAAAATAGTAATAAAATAGTAGAATTTAAAATAGTGATGAAATAGCGAACAAAATAGTAAAAAAATAGTTCAAAATTCTTATAAAATAGTATAAATTTAAAATAGTAATAAAATTGTAATAAAATAGTCAGAAAGTAGTAATAAAATAGTTATAAAATAGCAATAAAAGAATAGTAAAATAGTCATAAAATAGCAATAAAATAGTCAGAATGTAGCAATAAAATAGTTATAAAATAACAATAAAATAGCTATATAAAAATAGTAGCAATGCAACATAGTTACTTTATAAAGTAATAAAATGGTAGTATGATAATTAAAACCAGTTAAAAAATAGTAATGAAATAATATCAAATTAGCTGAAAACTAGCAATGCAGTACCATGGTTGACAGGTATATTTATCATTTAAAATTGTATAAAATAATACACATAAAACAGTTTGTATTCTTATTAGCTGTCAATGCTAGGTTGTGGCAGTTTAAGGCCGGCAGGGGTGAATGTGGCAGTTTAAGCAGTGTCAAATCAATGGCATTGTTTACCACAGTCAGAGTTACCAACGTTCGAGTAACTGTAAGGAATCTATTACACAATTGGGTTTCAAATCAATTGCAGGATGAGCAGTCTAGTAGTCTACTAGCAGTTAGACCCATGCCACCAAGCATCTTGCAGATCAAGCAGTTATTGCCAATACATGCCAGCTTAATTGTCAGTATTAAAAGGTGAAAAATGGGCAAGCAGACCACAGTCGATAAGCAAACTTGTCTAGTTTGAGACCTCAGAGTTAAATATTGTGTGCAGAACTTAAAGTAGGGAGTGTTAAGGAAAATTACATCTAAATATGTCAACATGAAACATCATGGGCATGAAACATCATGAGTCTAGCTGGACACTTTCCTTGGCAAATAAAATTGTCCAACATTAGGCAAGATACAGAAACATTTAAATATTAACAAACTGCTGAAAATTGGGCACTTCGCAGTGAAATGGGTAATTTTATTTAAAAAAACAAACATCAGTTCACCCTTGTCGTGACTTGCCGGGGTGTCTCTAAAGATATATAAAATGTAGCCCAAAGGTTGTTACATATATTATTAAGCAGATCATGCAGGTGGTATAGATAAATGTATTCATATATTATAAACTTTGAACAAGCAAACAAAGGACTTTGACTGTTTCCAGTTAGAGCACTTCCATAATCAAGTTGCCACACAACAAATTGATCAAATTGACATTTTTACCTATTAACCGAACCACCCGGCATTAAAAAATTCAAGCATGGCATACAAAGGAAATTGAAATTAAACCTCTATACCCATTCCATTGATATCCTAGTGCATTGTACTATTACCCTCTGATGTTAGACATCATAAGTTGATGGTAAAATCAAACAGCACTGAAAGAATCCAGCTTTGATGCAACCAACACCTGGTGTTAGACTGAGGGTGAAAAAAAATTAAAGTAGGGTATATAAGTGCTATAATGGTAAAGTGCACGAGACATTCCTTTTCCGGTTGATAATTTCAGCAAATATACTACATAGATATAAGTAGAATATAATATAATGACATGTCTTGCAAATATAATGACATATCTTGTGAAACACTGACCAGTGAAGGTGAATCATATTTGATTCAAAACATACAGTTTTTATAAATTGTGTGTTAATTACTGATTTACTGTATTTATATTATATATTTTATATATATAATGCACTCCTTATTCAAAATAACTTTAATTTATTCTATGACTATTGTAACTGAGACATGCACATTTAGCTGGGATATGCCTAGGTATTTATAAGCACATAAAGAATTGAGGATTGAAACTTGAGTAGATGTCAAGCTATAATATATTATTTAATTTTGATACAAGAAACACTGCCACTGCAGCACTGCTCACTGGAATCTATCATATACACAACTATTAACTATTTGGCATTAGTTACAATAAACATAATTTAATATAAAGACTGAGTCAAATGTAAGCTTTGAATTAAACTATTGTTTTATATCATCGTTTTAAATATTATCGCGGCAAATTCAAATTTTAAGCCGAAACATCAAGCACGTGCATTCTCAAAATTCACGAATGAAGATTGAAGTAGAAAATATTTCCCTTCAAAATTGCTCTATTATACACAAAACATAACAAGATTCTTAGCTGGATATTACTCAGTCATCCCTGATGTTTCATCTTCGCTTATTAAGGCTTCATCGGCTCGAAATATCGAGCGAAATATTGTAACTTATACTTCGAAATAAAGTTTGTTCGTTCACTGCAACCAGGTATATCAATCATGTTTCGCTCGCTACTCTGGTTTAAATAAATGATTACAAAGCCCAGTCGAACATCAAAGGCTATCAAACACGTGCATTCTCAAAATTCACGAATGAAAAAAGCAAATGTTTCCTTTCAAAATTGCTCTATTATACATAAAACATAACAAGATTCTTACCTGGAGATTACTCAATCATCCCTGATGTTTTATTACGCTTATTCACGGTTAATAAAGCTTTATCGGCTCGAAATATCGAGCGAAATATTGTAACTTCGAAATCACGAACTGTTATAAAAAATATGGCGGGGTGTAAATTCACTTCCACTTTCAAAAAAATAATTTTCCTTCCAACAGCTCAAAACTTCCTTATTTTTGACAAAAATTCCTTTCATGAAGATGAATTTTACCTAGTTTAAGGTGGCTCCCTACAGTTCTCTAAAATTCTAGGTATTTTGAGTATCGTTCGCTTTGAACCGAATTTATATTAGATACACTGAAGAAGAGGCAATATGATCATTTCCAGGAACGTTCAGAAGCTGTGTGCTGCCATTTATGAACAAATTAAAACAGTGTTTGTGTTGCCATGGCAACCGTGACGTTTAATCTTTTGCACTTTTATTGTCTAATTTCACAATAAATGGACAATATCTATATTTTCCTTCGGTGAATTTTTCTGAAATTTTTGTTGAAGATTTATGGTCCATACAGGAAAAACATATCAAAATTTGAAGGGAATTTGTAAATAAGTTTTCGAGATATTCGTGAATGAGGGTTACAGAAAAAGTTATTTGTAGAATTTCTTAAAATGTAGATATGTTGTACCACTCGTCTTGTATAACAAAAATACAAAGTTTAAAAAAATTTTACCGAAGAAAACACGAGAAAATCATCGCTAAAATCGGCGTTGCCAGCATGAAAAAAAAATCGACTCGACATGAGCACGATCTGCGCATGCGTGTAATTGTAGTGTGTGATTTATAGTGATTTCAACTTTTTGGCTTACAATACATAAGAAAACAGATATTTCTGACTTGTTTGACATGAAAATAAAATATTAATCTTGAAAATACTAATAAAAACACTATTATAGGCATTGTATTAAATCCAGTGTTAGTTTACATTTGTTTTTGTTGTTAAAATCGGTGTGAAAACTTTTCAAAACATCGAACTACAAGTTTAACTTTTCATATATTAAAACAACTCATAACTGTTTTATTTGATTTAGAAGATAAAACGATACCTGTGAATTGAATTAATTGACAGAACTTAATATAAGTTTCGGCAACAGTCCACTACTGTTCAAGAGTTAATAGAAGACAGTATCATTTCAATTTTACAGCTCACAAAACAACAAGTTGAAAATTTTGAGCAATATGAAAGACAATACTGAACGTGGATACGTAAAAACACACTAAAAGATGGGTTAAACTAGTTAATAACATACGTACTGTTCGAATTCAGAAAAAATTAGGATTATAATGAAAAACTGGAGCTTTCTTTGTAGATAAAAACGCCAAAAAACTTCCCACGGCTTGTTTCAATATTTTTGCCGAACAGTAAACACGACGATTCCACTCGCAGCTCGCGAGGATGAAGTCTGATCTATATAAATCGTATTTAAACTGTACTAACTGTAGGGAGCCACCTTAATTTATCCTGAATGACGGTGTATTTCTCGGGCGGGAAACACCATGAACGTCGCAATTATAAATTATAATTTAATTATAAAAAACTGCAACAGGAGGCTTGAGGTCATGCCTCAGAAATTTTTCAGATTTTCCATTCCCCAGGAGTAGGATTTGGATTTTCGATATTTCCTGACGCGAATTTGCTTCGGAATTGCTATAATCTTAGGATTTATTAGAAATAACGTAATATCCTTATTTGCTTGCTGAAAACAAAATTCCTTGCCGTTTCCTAGTAAATTTTATTTCTTTTTGCAAAGAAATTTCCTTGCAAGTGGAAGCACTACATGGGATGACCAGTGGGGATGACGCTGTACGCAATAGTTGAAGCCTCCTCCTTTTCTCACCCTCCGCCCCCTTCCATTATTAAGTATTGGTCCCTTATCTGTGTAAATGTAAAATACAGTTCCATTTTATTTCATTTTGCTATAAGTAGGAAAATTCCGTATGTTTTAATTTAAATAGACTATTTTATACATACCTGCAAATTGTAATCCTGAATTCCTGTAAATGTAAAGTAGGATTAAAATAGTGTATTTTATTCTATTTTGCAAATTAGGGAAAGTAAATAGGTTTAAAATAGTATATTTTATCCCTATTTGAAAAATGTGGCATTTTTAAAAATGTGAAATAGGTTTAAAATAGTCTATTTTATTCTGTTTTACGTATTCTGAAAAATAAATAACTTTAAAATACTATATTTTATATCTATTTTAATTTATGTAATTTTCTGCACGTGCAAAATATGTTTAAAATAGTCTATTTTATTGTTATTTTGCTAACTATGAAAGAAAGATAGGATTAAAATAGTATATTTTATTCCTGTTTGAAATTTGTGCATTTAACTTGCAATGTAAAATAGGATTTAAACAGCCTATTTTATTTTATGAGTTTAAAAATAGTATATTTTATATCTATTTTAATTTCTAACTGCTTTTTAGTGAAGTAAAATAGAATTTAAATAGCTATTTTAAACCTATTTTTTCCCTGAAGCTCTGGAAAATAGTATTAAAATATGTGATTTTATTTCTATTATCTATAAAAATAGGAATAAAATAAAATAAAACATTAATAAAATATGGCTCTTTCGTTTGGTGAAATATTATGACAGAATTAAAATAGGGTTGGTTCTGAATAAAATAGCATAAAAATAGGGGTGATAGTAATAAAATAGTTTTAAAATAGCAATATAATATAGTTGTTTTCGCAAGGGTCTATTATGCGTACGCGTCGAATGAGAGGCATAGCGCTAAATTATTTATAAGCAATAGATGAATTTAAAAAAATCAATATAATAAAAAAGGGAATCAATATTTAATACTAATACACTGAAATTATATGCTGTCTTGTTTAGTTGTTTTCATATACGCAAAGGGCCAAAGGCCGTCGGATTTTAAAGCAATTATAAAATCAATATTTAAAACAAACTTACTTTCATTAACGTCGGCTCCGTTCTTTTTGCCGACTCTTTCGCCCTTTCTTTCTGAGAAAGCTTTTGAAATTTACAAAATCTTGCAAAAATGCGAGCAAAAATGAAATATATTTGCAAGAAATTTATCAATCATCAAATCACAAATCAAGAAATGTTTGCTATTTCGCTGTCGTCATGCAGTCATTATAATGCGAACTTTAAATTGGACCGATCAGTGTCCGCTTTTCATGAGAGTCCGCCATATTTTTGAGATCAGCGAGGATGACCACCCACCGAATCACTCACAGTAACCTACGCCCGCGCTCATTGATGAACTTAGACTTGGCTAATGATTTCGTTTCCCCGGGTGTAAATAGCCGGGGGAAATAGGACCCTCGCACGGAGCTTCGCGCCGTCGGCTTGGGGATAACTGAATAACAATGTACCTTCAGACTCATCTGATAACCAATGTAACTATACTGTATGCACATATATGTAAAAATCTATCCAAACAAACAGGCATCACACTTCAGCAAAAATTTATTAAACAATTCGTTTAACTCAAAACATGTTGAAGTCTGTTTCGAAATACAACCATTCCTTGCGAAGATATCATGACATGACTCAAATTTCTAAAAATCGGCAATTTCTCCTATTTTTACTAAACAAAATGGCCAATTTTTCGACATTTGTACCGCTATATCTTCGCGAGAAGTAGTCGTATTTACAAACAGAGCTCAGTTTTATGACTCTTTCAATGTCGTCTATCGAATGAGTGCATAAAATTACCAATAGCTAACTGTTAATTTTTTGGCGCCAAGTTTGTGGCGTCATTTTCCCGCCATAAAGTAGCAATTCCAAAAACAAAAAACATACGTTTTGTAAGAATGATATGTTTTTTTTTTTGTTGTTTTTTTTTAACAACTTTATTGGTTAATATTTATAAATATGTACAAATACATTTAAAAATAACCAATCGGCAAAGGCGCGAACGGGACTGAAGTACCCATGCGAGGCGCCTTCGCGTTAAAATATAACGTTAAAATAACATAGGTCGACATAAGACTAAAATAGTAAATTATACTGTATGTAAAGCCAATTCTCAATGGCAAGAACAGTCACGAGACAGTGTCCATGTGCACGGGAAGTCTATGTCAAAGGATGCATTGAATAAAGTCAGGTATGTTTGCTTGAGTAATTGTTTAAATGATGAGATGTTGGAAAAGCCATGCACAGGAGCTGATTTGCAAATAGTGTTCCAGAGTTTGACAATCCGGTTGTAAAAGGATGCCTGAAAAGCGTTTGTCTTACAACGTGGAGCTTTCATAACTAAAGGAATCTGGCTGTGTCTGGTGCGGCCATGGCCTATAAATGCAATATATTTATTGACGTTCACGTCGATGTACCCATATAGGGCCTTGTAGAAAAAGGTTAGATCTTTGATTTCTCTGTCGTAGCATAAAGGCAATAAGTGGAGCAACTGCAATCTTTGGTGGTAAGACATTTCTTTGCCTTTGTAACCGAAGATCCATTTGGTAGCTCGCCTCTGTACTCTTTCAAGCTTGGCTTTGAGCATGTCCTGCGCCGGGGACCAAACTTGGGTAGCATAACATAACTGTGACTTGACAAGAGATAAGTATAATGTCCGTCTCACTTGAATATCAGTTAACAGTGGGCAAGTTCTCTTAAGAAGACCTAATAACTTGTTTGCCTTTGCAACAATTACAGATATGTGATGATGCCAGGTGAGTTTGGATGATATAGTAACTCCAAGATCTTTCTCTTGCTGAACGCGGGTTAATATGGCAGAACCAAGTTGGTAATCGTAAACCACAGGATTTTGCTTGCGTGTAATGGTGAGAACTTTACATTTTGTGCTGTTGAATTTCATATTGCTCTGCTGGCTCCAGATGTTAATGTTGCTGAGGGCTTGCTGTAAACCCTCGCAGTCAGTCAGAGACGAGATGTTTCGATGTAATTTGGTATCGTCCGCGAACAGTGCTGTATTGGTACCATTTGGAATAATTTCAGGGAGATCGTTAATGAATATAACAAATAATAAGGGACCCAGGATACTTCCTTGAGGCACCCCGGAGGTAACAGGGACCCACTGGGATACAGCACCGTCGATCACAACCCTTTGAGTTCGACCGTTCAGGTAGTCAGTGAACCAGTCCAGGAGTCGTCCAGCCACGCCGTAGCATTTTAGTTTCTCAACAAGTATTTGATGGTCAACCGAGTCAAATGCTTTGGCAAGATCAAGGTACAAAACATCCGACTGGGTGTTATTGTCAAGATTTTGACCAATGTTGTGAAGTACCGAGAGCAGTTGTGTTATACATGAACGCTTTCTCAGAAATCCATGTTGTAGTGGCGAAATTAGTTGAATAACGTCAGCGTACATGTGATTGTAGACGCAGCGTTCCATGACTTTACTCACAATTGATAGCAGGGAAATAGGTCTATAATTTTCGGCTGGTTCTTTGGAGTTTTTCTTGTGGACAGGCGTGACGTTGGCAGATTTCCACTCGGAAGGAAAGCGACCGCAAATGAGAGAGTGGTTGAAGATGGTACAAAGACTTGGTGCAATTTGTTGACAACATTCCTTCAAGAGCCTAGAGGGTATCCCGTCTGGGCCGCAGGCTTTTGTTGTGTCCAGGGAATTTAGACAATCCGAGACCTCTTCGACACAAAGGGTAATGTTGGATAGTAGCATGTCCGTCTTTAAAGGAAATGAGTGGCTTGATGTAACTTCATTGACCGCATTATCAGTGCTTGGATGTGAGAACGTTGAAGAGAAATATTGGTTGAAAAGGTTTGCTTTTTCTGATGCAGTTTTAGCTGTGGCACCGTCATATGTAATTATGGTGCTTGGACTAGTCCGATGATGGAGAATGGCTTTGTGATAGCTCCAAAAATGCTTAGGGTTACTGCTGAGCGAGTCTTCAACTTTAGCTAGGTACTCGCGATGTTTTCTTTTGATGAGACTCTTGACGTTTTGAGTAGCTGTGCGTAGCTTTAGCTTTCTTACAACGGTTTTCGATTCTCGAAATTTTCTCAGAGCAACATATTTCTTACGAATTAAGTGACGCACTCCTCCGTCGATCCACGGTGGGGAATTGGTGTCCTTGATTGTTTTAACGGGAATGAATTTGGCTACTGCTTTTGAAAACAAATTCTTCCATTTTGACCAGCAAACATCAATATCGTCTGAAAGATCAATGTCCAGGGGTTCACGAAGAAGGAAGCTGCGTAGGTCATTGAAATTCCCATGCTTATAATTGTAGGTCGTACGCGTAATTGGCTTTGCTCGTTTAAATCTTAATTTAACCCGAAATTCTATAATGTGATGATCTGTCGGGAAATTATGTTCTTCAGGAGAGACTGCAGTAACATTTTCGATAACCTCGGGGTGGTTACACAATAATAGATCAAGCTTATTACCAGCGATATGGGTAGGACCTTTTATGGATTGATGAATGAAATTGTCGTCCACAAAGTTACAGAAAATGTCATCATCCGCGAGTCCTCTGGCATTCAGCGGTGCAGACTGATCTTCAGACCACGAAATGGTGGGTAAGTTAAAGTCTCCCAGCAGGACGATGCAACTGGACTCAGGGGAGTCTTGAAGTGAAGAGTTAAGTTGGTTTAGAACGTTGGGCGGGGATTGAGGAGGACGATAGAATGTATACAGGAGCAATGGCTTACTACAACTTTTGTGAATTTCAACAGCGATTAGCTCAATGTTCTCCCTTTCGAGGTCTTCCCGACGGCGGCTTTCTATATTTGTTCTTACGGCCACTAGCACACCTCCACCGATCTGCGCTTGTCTGTCGCGGCGGTGGATTGAATATCCAGGAAGCAATTCATTGTTTAGAACAGAATCATTTAACCAGGTTTCACAAAGACAGATGATGTCATATGTTCATGGGAAATATCATATAAATATATCATATATCATATATATATATATATATATCATATATATATATATCATATATATATCATATGATGATGTCATATGTTCATATGTCATATGTATATGTCTATGTTCATGGGAAATTTTGTAGAAACAGAATGAAAATTAAAGAAGGTGAAGCACGTTGACGCTTAGCCATGCATTTTTGTCAGGCGTGGAATATTACTAATTCTGTGATGTTCTTTCAAGCTGTGGTGAAATGTTTGTCTACAGTAGACTTGTCTCGATCAAAATTCTGTTCATTAGGGAATAGGTCCATTTGCTAATGACTGATTTACTCATAAAATTCGAGGGACGCAGAAAATTTTGGAGAAACAAACCTCAGACTCCCAATTGCGATAGGTCCTATACGCCTATGGCCGATTCACTTTTCCACAGCCCGAAAGGGCGCTACTTTTATTGACATCACTTCGATGAGTACATGTTTAAAATTAAACCATTTATGTAAATTCATCCTTAAACTATTTATTTAAATTCAGCCAATTGAAATACCTACCTTGCCCAATACATACGTAAAAAACAGCAAATTTTAACTTTTCTCCCCCAATCAGTCAAATTCATGTTTTCCCGACTTTGAAAACATTTTGCCTTCTGGAATATACCATTTTATAACACTCGACTGAGGGCAATACATTGCCCAAAAAGCGGAAATAGATCGCCCGAAAAAATGGCGGTTCCCGAATTTTGGGGGCTGCAACCCCCAACCTCCCTTTGGACTTTAGTTCTACGTACAGGTGTGCAAGTTGTTGTTGTGAGTATTTAGAAAGAATACAATATATTTTGGAGTTGTACTTTGATTTAATAATAACCGTATAGGTTAAGACACAACTCTGGCGACGAAGATTGGATTCTTAAAGTTTAGAGATGAGCGATACCGACGAGCGAAGTCCAGCAACAAGCCATTAACCTCCCAATGCGGAAAATTCAACACAAGTTACACTGCAAACAAGTTCCCCAAGAAGCGGTTTACCGCCGTCTTCACCCTTTGATCCGATCGGAAACCCCTCTACTGTTGGGCAAAGATGGAAGGAATGGGTAAGCGATTCGAAAATTTATTAATAACTTAAGAGAGTACGATTCAACGATACGACGTGGAATATTAGTGTTAACATATGTTGGGGAAGCTACAAACGATATATGTGAAGTTTTACCTGATACTGGAATAAAGTACGAAGCAGCTGTGAAATGTTTATCCGAGTATTTCCCCCTCTCGAAACAGAGATGTCGCGTTATTTTCGAACGTGAGCTAACACAAGGAAATGACGAGAGTATTATTATCGACATTAGAAAACTAAAACAGCCGATTGTGGACTTACTTATGACGATTCTGAAATAAAAACGCAAATAATTCATCAAACCCGAGATGTACGGCTACAGAAAAAAGCCCTTCGCGAAGAAATGGATTTGAAAGACCTTTTAATGTTCATACAATCATTAGAAATCACCGACGAGGAAGTAAAGCGACTGGAAAACAATATGAACAGACGAGTGTAAATACAGTGAAAAAGAACAGACAACACGTGCAATATCCAAATAAATATGGGAACAATCGCCGGGGACGTTTCTCGCAGAACTCAGAAAAACAACAGGATTCAAAGAAAACAAGTTGAAATTGTGGGGGTGCATTTTCTCATAAAAATGTAGTGCAATCCTGCCCAGCCCAGAGAAAAGAATGCCACAATTGTGGAAAGACTGGCCATTTTGCCAAATTTTGTAAGTCAGCAAAGAAATCGGTCAAAAACATCAGAAAGATCGAACAGCTTGAGAATAAATATGATAATTGTTTCACGCTTTCATCCACCCCAGCTGAATCACCAGAAACCCAAATTTTAATCGGTGATACCAATGTAAAAGTTTTGGTTAACTCTGGTGCCTCTGTTAACATTGTTCATCATAATAACATTTTCAATCAAACTTGGAAAAACAACCACAGCATTCACTTACGTGCTTATGGTTCTGAAGAACCGATAGAGCTTGCCAGTCAATTCAAAACCACCATTCAGTCTTCCAACCTCGTACCCAGGATTTTTCTTTGGGAAAGACCCTGGCAACAACTGGTCACGTGGCTCCCACATTTTGGGTGCTAAATTAGAATTATACTATTGGTAGGGTGAGAGAGGAGGGTATTTGTCGCGTTCTAAAACTTGCAACTTTGGGTGATGAAATATAAATTTGCAACAAGAAATCGTGTAGAGAACTCTTAAATTAATATTTATATCGTGTTGTCACATTATAATCTAGTGTTGAGTTACAATTCAAGGAAGTTTTTTTTCTTAAAGTTGAATATTTCCAACTTTATATAGTCTATAGAAAACCCCGCGTTGGCGGCGTGGCAATAAGGCTACAAGAAAATATATATCTCAGAATCCGACCAATGTGGTTGTTATTTATTTTCAATAGTATAAAAGTCTATCCTGATCCTCGGACCAAAAGAATTTATTTATTGATGAGATGTGGAATTGCAACGAAATAGCGAGACTGTTTTCATTTCCGAAATATCGCCAACTGTATCCAGATTGTCGATATATATAAATGCCTATTAAAAACTTAAAGCGCGTCAAAAGACTATAAATTCCCTTGGCATTGCTGAAACTCAACGATAATGGTATATGTCAAAGAATAGCTGTCTGTTGAAAATCTACGGTATTAAAATCATACATCAAAGATAAGTCAAACGGCAATAGTCAATATATTACAGTTTTATGACTCGATCTCTCAATGTCGTCTACCGAATAAATGCATAAAATAACAATACCTAATTGTTAATTTTTTAGCGCCAAGTTTGTGACGTCATTTTCCCGCCGAAAATGTAGCAATTCGAAAGACAAAAAACATACAATTTGTAAGAATGACATGTTCTATGTTCATGGGAAACTTAGGCATGCATTTTTGTCAGGCGTATTCCGAAGTTTCGTTGGGAAATATTGTAAAATTCGGATGATATAGCCCTGCGAAGTTTGCCGTTTTTCAGTCATTTTGTATTACGCGCGGGAAATTGATACTTTTTTCAGAAAGCGATATCAATTTCCCGTGCGTAAATAAAAATGACTAAAAAACGCCAAACAGGGCAATATTATCCGCATTTTACAACATTTCGCAACGAAACTTTGTGATGCTCTTTCAAGCTGTGGTGAAATGTTTGTCTAGACTTGTCAGCTACATCAAAATTTTGTTCATTAGGGAATAGGTCGACATTAATATTTCTTTTCCCTAAAGGAGGAGTTGGGAGGGAGGTCGCATTGTAATTTTTTTTGCGCGTTAGCTGCATGCGGATATTATTTGACAGCCGTTTACCGGATGGAGCGGAGGTGACAAAGACGCCAACATGTGACGCCAACATGGTTTCCTCGGAATTTTTGCCACGATTAGCCTAAACCATTTATCTAAATTCAGATCATGAGTGCATTGGCAAGAGTCCTCGTTCCGAGACTTTTGTCAAAATGGATGAGGCGTTTGGGTCAAAAGTGGTTTAACAACGTGTTTGAATCATACACTATTCATGCATATATTATAATATCTTCACTGTTTTCGAATAAATATATAACACTGGAAAGTAAAATTTCCTCTTCAAATGATATCTTTCTACAATATATTATGTATTAATGTCTGCTTCCGAGCGAAAAATAGTTTGGTTTATCCGAGTTAGATCTAGAATCTCAATGTTTCCCCCGCAAGAGAACATTGAGATTCAAGGGAACAAAACTATTTTCCAACAGAACATACAGACATTAATAAATTCTTATGTTATATAGCATTCAAAGAAAGTCATACAACAGTTGTATTTCATGACAAAAACTCTATATAGTGTAAAGAATTTAAAATTGAAAGAACCTACTTAAACAGTTTCAGTAGCAAATCCTGTTTTGCCTTCTGTGTACTTTTCTTCTCTTTTACAATCTAAATTTTAACACAAACTTGGAAAATCTTAGTTTATAAATTTGCGAGTTGTGCCGACATTTTGTTTATATGTGCACGCAGTCGACGGGCGGAGCGGTCAACAATATTTTACTTGCCCGGCGGGATACATTGAATTTGTTTAAGTCTTAAGGCTCGTGACAATAAATTAGCCAATCACGTCTAGTGTTTACCTAGCTATATATAACAACAATAGATATACAATTATCTAGTTCTCAGTGTACGTAGCTCTATTGCCCCAGGTGGTTGACGTCTTCCTGAGCTTGGACGTCCACAGATTCGCTGAAAAAGGTTTTTGAAAGCCTCTCTGTATGTTTGGTCCAGACAAGCATAAATTATTGGATTGCATAGACTGTTAAAGTAAGGAAGTCTGGTTATTACTAATATAGTTTCGTCATCTGAACGAAATACTAAATGCGGAGCGTAGTACATAAATAATATATAAATAAAGTAAGGCACCCAACAAAGTATGAAAACTCCAACGACAACAAATAACACTCGGATAGTCTTCAGATTTTGACGAAGGGCACTTTGTTGGTTTCGATCTTGAAAAGTTTGTCCCAGTTCGCCATTTCGCCGCATCTTTTGCCGTTTATGAACAACAACAAAAATGAGAGCGTACATGATCAGTATGACTGCGGTGGGTAAAAAAAACGCGCTTACTGCCAGAAAAGTATAGAATCCTTTCTCTTTGGCGTTATCGTAAGGACAATCAAAAAATCTGACAGTAAGCAAGATCCCCCTGCTTCCTGAATGAGGAGTGGCGGCGTAGGTGGCAAAGGCAGTTGAGATGAACCAAATGATAAAAATTATTTTTAATGATTTCGAGGTTGTCATTCTGGCTCTATACTGAAGTGGTTTCCTCAGTTTCAGGTATCGATCGAAACTGATGAATGTCAGTGAATAAATAGATGCTGTTAACGCGAAAGTATCTAGCCACACCATAAAACGACATATATGAAAATTTGTAACTTTCGATTCAGCATCGAGCTGATACAGCCTCAGTGGTTCCAAAATCGTACCAACCAAAAGATCAGCGACAGCCAGGCAAACAATGAAATATTTATTTGGTTGATGAAGACTTCTCTCTCTCCAGGTCACCACCAAAACCAAAGTATTTCCAAAAATGGTGAACATGGCGAAAATAATGAGTGTCATTTTCTCTGCTAATGCTAAATCATTCATGTTCAGTCGAATCAACGTCACTGCAAAACTTGATCCTAAGGAATAGATAAGAATACCAGAACAGTCAAACAAATCCTAGCAGGGTTCAGGGTTCAGTGTGCTCATGTACTCGTCAGGTCTACGTGTATGACTACGTGCATGACTTGACAGACAAATCAGCAGACATGCGTGTTTCGGCGTTTTGCGCCAAGGCAATGTATGCACAGTGTATACAGCTATTTCAATTAAGGTTGTCCCCGAGCAAAGCGAAAAAGTCGAATACGAGCGCGAAAGGCTGCTGGGAATCGCTAAAAAATTAATGAATTTATTAGCGATTCCCAGCATTCTTTCGCGCTCGTATTCGACTTTTCCGCT